GTTATGAACTTGACTATATCTTATAATTTTGTTGTTTATTTTGTGTTTAATGCACAGCTACTTCACACCTTATACTTGCTTCGACTTGGTGATGTACACTTTTAAACATTGCAGATGAGCATAAAACTGGTCATAGAGGAAGAGCTAGAAATCCAGTAGCATGATTTTTAAATAACCTGTCTTTTTTTAAATTATTGCTTAAAGTATTACAAAGGGTATTACATATGTGTCCCTTTTCTTTCCCCGCCCTTGACAATCCCCTGGCCTCCCCTACCCACCAGTGTCTTATGTCCATTGGTTATGCTTATATGCATGCATACATGTCCTTCGGTTGATCTCTTACCCCCCTCCCTCCTGCCCCTCAACCCTCCCCGGCCTTCCCGCCTGCCTCCTGCACATCTCCTACTGGGGATGTGCCCGCAACCCAGGTACATGCCCTTGACCAGAATCGAACCCGGGACCTTTCAGTCCACAGGCCAATGCTCTATCCACTGAGCCAAACTGGTTTTGGCAGGGATTTCATTTTTAATTCATCTTTATGAAGATTTGGAATTCATTCCTTGTGTTTAAAGGGAATGTTTGAGAAATAAAACACTTGTGTACAAATTGTTAACTTGTGTGTGTTTTTTGCATGTGACTTGTAAAATGCAGGAACTTTGATAAAATATTGGTTTGTGTAGAATAAATGCCTTAATTTCATTTTCTGTCACCTGGTTTATAGAAAGTAGCAGAATATAAACTATATAAAGTGATATGGCGTCTTTGTCCAGCTCCTCCCTGGACAGGGCACAGATGCCCAGCTCCTCTCTGGACAGGACATAGACTCCCCGCTCCTCCCTGGACAGGGCTCAGGTTCACATGCAGAGACTCTGTTATGAGGCTCTGAAATGGCCCTTTCTCTTACTCTGGAATCCTTGTTTGAGGATCCTCCATGGCGGAGGCTGCCAATCAGGCCAAAGGATAAGTGGTGTCATGGTCACTTCTCTCCTTCTTTTGGGAACACACTGGTTAGAACACCGAAACCTGAGCAGCTGGGAGCTCCGGTCTTACCTTGCACCCAGGGATCTTCTGGCTTGAAATGGTTAGAAACGTGGCTTCCAGCCCCCTGTTCGGTACCGTCTGGTCCGAGCGAGGACCGGGATTCATTCCTCCCAGTGGGATCCAGGGAGCTCTCGGGCCCTGCATGAGCCCTCCTTTGCCCTGCCTGGACAGCACTGCAGCCGGTCAATGCATGCCCATTTCATGAGGCGCTGCCCGTGTAACTGAGCACAGGACTCCCTCCTCCCTCCTTGGCTTGCCATGGCCATTGGCAGAGACAGCTAATCGAAAGCTGCTCCTCACCAGACCGTAGATATTGACCGGGGGCTCGGGAAGACTTTATAAGGAGTCATTGAGGGGATTCTTTCAGTTCAAAATGAATTGTGGGCCGTTAAATCGTTAGTAAAAGACTGTGCTCTTATCACATTCCAATGCTCCTTCTGAATGTTTAACCAGAGCAGGAGACCACCTCCCTGGCAGGGCCCTCTCTTGGGCCTGGGCCCTTCTCCTCAGGCAGATCTGGTTAATTGTCATGGGTTTCTCGGCAGGTGGATGCTCTTGGAATTTGGAAGGAAAAGGCTTTGTTTTCATTTCAGAAGAAAACCAATTTGGTGGCTCTGCCTAGAGACATAGGAGGGAGGTGAGTAAGGACGGAGGGGGGCAGCGAGAGGAGAGAGGATGGGCCATTCAGGGATCGCAGAGGAGCCTGGATGTGATCAGATGCCACACATGTGCATGCCCACGCACACACAGACACACATGGCAGCTCAACACATAAGCAGACCAACATGGGCACACACATAAGCACATCTACTCTCCAACAGGCACACACATGCACTCACACACATTTATGTGGACATTCACCCACAAACACTTGTTTGTGTGCAATGAATAAATACACTCAGGTACACACACACCAGCTCCATCATTGATAATTGAGACATTAGTGGAGTTATATAACTTCCCTCAACCTTGGCGTCATCATCTAAACACCAGGAGGCACTCCTCTACACTAATAAAAGAGAAACATGCAAATTGGTGTCACTCCGCTACCCTTCCCATTGGCTAATCAGCATATCCTTATGCAAATTAACTGTCAGCCAAGATGGTGGCCGGAGTCATGCACTGAAGGGAACAGGGAGGCTTGCTTGCTCCAGTGACTGCAGACTCCAAAGTTCCCCGCCTGACTTGCCAGCCTCTCAGCTGCAACTCTAAGCAACTATGTTGCAAATAAAGAGCTAAACAAAACCCCAGAAACCGGCTTTCAGTCAGCTGGGGTTCAGCCAGCCGGACCACAACATTGTATTAAATACAGAAGGTAAAGGCCAGAAACCTGCTTTCAACAGCAAGGCCTCAGAGCTAAAGCTGTCCCAGAATAGAAAAAGAAAAGAAAAAAAGGAGCAGTTGGGAGCTTCAGTAACCCGCCAGCCTGAAAACCGCCCTCAGCCCCTCACCCAGACTGGCCAGGCACCCCAGTGGGGACCCCCACCCTGATCCAGGACACCCTTCAGGGCAAACCAGCCGGCCCCCACCCATGCACCAGGCCTCTAT